TTATATAGGTGAGAAGTTCTATTCACAGTAAGACACTGTACAACTTGACTTCTTCAGTTTCGAAACAGTTAAAGATCATGACAAATTATGTGTAGTGAAATACTCTGACCCCATTCAGTACCTATTTTCTCATTCAGTCTGAAATATATCCCTTTATTGCTTTGTGAATTAATAATACGATGTTGGACAACTACAGATGACTTCTTGTTAATTAGAATTTCAGATGCGTGCTATGATGCATCAGAACTTTCTCTATTTTCTGCTAATAGGACACACTGAGTGAATAGCAAAATGTTTTTCAAGAGCAGGGAAGGAAAATGATCTCCTGATCTAAATAAGATGTTGCCCTGAGGAAAGGCACCTAAATTCTCAATGCCTGGTTTTCAGGAAAGTCTTTCACAATTGTGGCACTTCTCAAATTCGGAATTTTGAGCAAGTGTTGAACTAAAGACCTGTGATGGGAAAAATCTGGTCTCTGTGGTGATAGGAAGAGCATACTGACTGTATGGCTTACATAAATTTTTAGTCTTTCCTAATTGGCTGTTTTATTTAATCAGGCCAGATCTTCAAGTGCTAAAAAATAAATATAACTTTGCCATTAACTATGGTGCAGCTGAAGCTCCACACATTTAATTTTTCCTGGTAAATATTAGAGAAGGTAAGAATACCCTTTGAATGTACTTCTGATAGTAAGATGGCTCTAGGGGACCAACCTCACTACTCTGGGTGTCTCATCCTAAGTGAATTTCAGTATTTAGCTGGTGCACATCCTGGCTTACCTATAGCTTTGAGAAACCTAGCCCTAATATTGGTGGCATGTTTCAGGCTTTGCTGTACAACAAATAATTTTAAAACTAAAACTGATAATTGATTTTTTTTATATCTTGTCTCCTTTTTTTGTTTTAAATTTCAACCTTGGCCTTACTGCATAGTCACATAAGAGTCTATTCTGATGAACTTCTCAGAAACAGGGGGGGAAGTATTAAAAAGATCATCCTGGTGCAAGTTGTTTTTCAAGATTCTCTCCCAAAATGTGAAGTAAAGGCCAAATTTACTGTCAATGGAAATGAAGTTTGTTCTGTTGAGGCAAACAGCTGAGCTCATGTCTGCCCACTGAGCATCAAAACCAGCTGAAGCTGAATTATGAATTCGATGAGTTTTTGCTTTCTTATATAAGAGTGCCCTTACAGTGAGTTGACTAAGTTGGCTCTCATTTCAAACAGACTCATGTTCAAAAGCTGCACGAGGGAAGGTGATAGAATTATTCCATGTGTTATTTTGTCCTGTGATGATGGAGGTAGTGTTGGTATCCACCAGCTCAACCCTCGCTCCGTGTCAGTTCTGTCTCCGTGTACGACTGGAAAGGTGACGTGTGTTACCTCCCACTCAGGGTCTCCCTTGGGTGACATCCATGGCACCACACTGACTTCTATCAGTTGGAAGTCATGATAAATTCATAGCAACTGGACTGTCTGTTCCTTTCCCAAGTGAAAATGATGGTATATGAAAGGGCTTCCAAAGCACAAACGTATTTTTTGTTGTCTATAACAGGAAATGACACTTTGCATTTTTATCTGAGACACAAATGGAACTGCCTTACTCTGTACTAGAAAGGAAAATCATGGAAACAACTCAGAAACTACTTTCCTAAACATGGTTTGCATCATTTTATAAGGCTGGTGGTATTTAAGAATAATCTCTTATAACTTTCATTCCTGGACATTTAACGTGTTCCTCCTTTTGCTGTTGGATGTACAAGCACCGGACAAAATAATATGGCAGGGGAGCTGAAGTTAAATCTGGAGGAAGCCATTATTAGATGCACCTCTCACTGAGCTTGTAATGTAAGGAGGCACCACTTGCTGGAGCTTGCTTTGCCTTTTTTGTTAAATCCTTTAGGAAAGGAGGATATGCCCAGAAAATAGAAGTTTGAAGAACAGGGCTGAAGAAATGTGGTAGATATATTATACCTGTGATTAGTGATTGGTCCCAGGTACCTCCCAGTACCTAAAGGGCTACAAGAGAGCTGGAGAGGGACTTTGGATGAGGTCATGGAACGACAGGACAAGTGGGAAATGCTTCACACTGGAGCTCTTTGGTATCATTTCAGGGCATCAGATAGGACGGTGCGGTGCAAATTGTAACTGTGAATCTCTCTCTGGCAACATGCAGAGAGGAAGGTGTTAAAATTCAATGGTTTGAGTGTCTTATCTTACTAAATAATGTCATGTACAAATTTCTCATGAAAGCTGTAGCTTAACTTCACAGATAAGCCCATTTTCATTCTATTAAAAAAGCCAGTGAGTTTCTAAAACCACCAAGACAAAACCATGGGCTTCAGGCTGGACAAGTGCCAGCAAAAGGGCCAAGAGACCTCAGATTCAGGTACTTCTGTAAAAATCCAGCTGTTGGGTCTCAGTTGGACAAATGCTGACCCCATGCACAGTTGTGGAAATTGGATGCTCTCACCCCATGCTGTGGCAAGCCCCAAGTGTGCGAGAAGAGAACAGAAATCTCAAGTTTGCGACGTTTTAAAAAAGCCCGAGGCTGATGAGAAAATTAGCTTTGACATTCTGAATTCATGCTGGAAAGTGTAAGGGAAAATGGGATGATTATTATTAATAATCAGTAGCAGAAGTCAAATGTCTGAATGACTATTTGAACTGCAATGATACCCTCTTAAAAGTTTGAAATGAACTGTTCATAAAAAGTTTAAAAGTCAGGGTATTAGTTCATGTGCATTTCTTTAATGTCTGATTGGGGGAAAGGGTAGAACAGATGTTTTTCCCTGTTGTCGTAGATAGCTAACTTTTGTCTCTTTCTTTAAAATGTAAAATATGCATCACAGTTTGGAAAACATTCACAAACGATTACTTCATACTGTGAGCTGGAGCTGCCTTCCAGAGGGATGCATTATAGTCTGGTCAGATGCAATTGCCTGCAACTACTATTTCCCTTTTAAAAAAGTTTTGCCATCTTGACAAACTTTCATTAACAACTCAGCCTAACTTGGGGAACGTTACTTATAAGCCAGGAATTTCTCCTTTAAGGATATATAGAGACAGATACTGAAATAATATCAAAATGGCAATTTTCCACTGGAGATGATGAAGTGCATTTGCTCACGATTATTCCCTATTTAATTCCAGCAACATTCCAACTATAATTTTAATTCTCCTGTAAAGAAAATATTTTGACAGCATAGGAAGGCATCACTGATGTTTGAAACTTGTCTTTTCTTCTCTTTTCCTCTCACGCTGTTGTTTTTCAAGCCGATGTGTCTTTATATTTTTTTCAGTATTGGTTAAAAGGTCCCTTTCTCAAGTGAGAGATGAGCAAAATGAGCCCAGATGCAGGGAATCACTGAAGCCCTCTCCCAGGTGGGAATAGACACTCCCTTGTATTCCCTTCTTTTTGCCACCATTTTGTTCCAGCCCTGAAAAGCAGCAAATGGTGGTTATTGTTTCTTTGCAGGGTATGGTTTTGTACTGGATCCATGTGCAAAGTGTAAACATGTCATCAGTCCTCATTTGCTATATCCAAAAACATTCCCCATGTCCATATTTGATTTTCAAGTGCATCTGTGCACTGATTGAAACCCTCCCAACATGCTGCTACGCAAATGCAAACCCACACATTGCTGATTTGGAATCAAATGCTCTTATGCTTCCACACTTCCATTTCAAAGTTTGCCTCAGAGTTGCAGTATGTGCCCTTTTAACACATTTTTTTCCCCCTCTCACAAAGAGATCCCTGTGTTCATCGCAGGAGCCCGGTGCAGTCTTTTCCATTTTGTTCTTATTTATTCCTTGGAGCCTGCTTTTATTTTCACAGCTTATTTATCCTTTGTTTACAGCCCACATGTTCTCTTAACCAACAAAACCAATATTTAAACAAAGGAAGTAAAATGCTGAGTTATAATATAGGAATTTGCTATGGATAGAAAGTTGGATTGCAAATAGCAATACATTTTGCCATTAATGTGCTGCTTCAAAAAGGAGAGAGAAAAAGCTTATTGAGTTGCAAATTTTCCAGAAAAAAAGATGAACCTCTTATAAACTATGATGGAACATTTTCCTTTTAACACCCATCAGACCCCTAGTCCTGAAAAAAATAATGGGGGGGGGGGGGGGGAGAAGGAAAAGTGCCAAAATGTGTAATTTTAAAGCAAGTTGTGTTGCACCTAATTATTTTTTCCATCCCTCCTGATATACGGGAGTTACCTTAACTGCAAAGCTCTGTAGTACCCTTTGCCTGTCATTTTTAATCAGGTTGTTTTAGGTAATTTTTGTTATGCCCCTCATTACTGAATTGTTTATCAATAGGTGCACCAAGTGTCACTAGCTTTTCTCATCAAGCCAGGTCTGACAAAGAGCTGCAGTGCATGGGAAAGAGGCAGCTAGGTGAAACTAATGCCATAGATGTTTGATTCATTAGGAGCTTATTGTTAACGGGGATGTCTGATTGTAAAGGCTCAGTCAAGCAAAAGAGTGCAGAGTAATCAGTCGGATTTATAGTTTGCAGGGCTCAAAAAAAAAAAAAAAAAGAAAAAAAAAAGAGAAAAAAAAATCAACATAAACCTTTGGATATAGCAGAAACAGAAAAATCCCCTTTGGGCAGCCCTAACCTGAGACCAGCCAAATAAGGTCATGCTACATGAAGGTTGCCTGTTAGGTGATGGGAGATATAGGAGGATTACAGCCATATGGCATGGCCTATCATACCTTCTGACTTAAGATAACAAAGCCAAGCTTTGTGCTTAGCTGTTTTTGACTGACATCATCAATTTTATTTTATGTTGGTCACCTCCGGTAACAGGAAAAAATGGCCTAGGGTTGATAACACATGCCTGTTTTTTTAGTATTAAGATGCCTTACAGCCAGTCTTGCGCTGTAAAAAATTTCAAAGAATTAGTAGCTTGTTCTTCTATCAACCATCCTCCAGCAACTGTCAGCTCCCCCCTCCCTTGTTTTCGGTTTGTACCTTGCAAATGAGAGACAGCCTTATTCAGAACCAGATGTAAGGCTCCTAGAGAATGAGCGTAAGCTGTTGTACTTTAAGCCTAATGGGAAGTTTTATATGCAAGGGCCTTGAACTGATTAGTATAATTCCCTCTTTAATACAGCTGTCCCTCCAGATTAAGGTAAACCAAATGTTGCAATCAGAGATTAGTGTACCTTGCCAGTTATTAACATCCCCGGTTGCTCGCCGAGCACGTCAGACACTAATGCTGTGTATTTATTTGCCACTTCCACGCTGTAACTTGAACTTCTGCACCTGTCCAAGCATTCCAGGGAAGAGAGGGGTATTATTGGGAAGCAAAAGTTTTATACCTGTTCCACCTGTTTGGTTTTGTCACCGCCTGAGATTTTCTTTTTTGCCTGCCAAGATTGCCAGGTGGTTTAATCCGTTCCTCCGCTGGGTTTATGAAGAAAGACTTTGTCTGCTGAACTGCATTTGCTGCCCCTCATCTGCTTTCCCTTACCGAATGCGTGCTACTCACCTAAACTGCCTATTTATTTATTTACTTACTTACTTTGCCTTCCCCCCTGGCTTTTTAATTTTTTTATTATTTTTTTTTCCCCTGCAGAGGCTCCCTGGCTGCTCTTTGTGCGCCGAGGATGCGGCTCCGGGCGGGGAGAGGCAGCACCCGCTCCCGCTGTGCTCGCATCAGCCCGCGGTGCCTCTCGCCCAAGGTGGGTCACGCAGTTGTCTTCTTGCATTTGGCAGGATATCCTGTCCACCAGCAACACAGATGTCAAGGGGGACAATGTCCGGGTTATCGAGGCAAGATCTTTGCCTCCCCCCCACCTGATCAGATTTTATAGATAAATGTACACCGTAAACAGACTTAAAAAGCTTAGTGGGGTTGAGAGTGTCTTGTGCAGCATGGAGGAAATCGATAAAGTTAGGCCATGCTAAATAGCTGCTCCTCAAATATGTTTAATTACTTTAGAAGACTGTTAATTTACCTATAAACAGGAGAATCCTGGACAGGAAAAAAAGAGCTGCACAACACACAGAGGAAGGTGCTGCTTAAATGGGGTTTATTTCTTTTACACAAACAATTCACTAACCCTACAGTTTAAAAATTCATAGCAGAAAGAGAGAATTTGCCTTTTCTAAACCAAAAATTGAGACAATCCCCCAAATGAAATGCTTCTGCTTCCTAATACCTGCCCCCAGACCCTCTAGAGCACTGTGCTCTTCAAAAGGAATACAGGGCTGGATACCAGCTGTAATTTTTGGAATATTGTTGCTTCCTAGCAAAGACCTTGCTAGGACACTTTTTTTTTTTAATTGAATATATTCCTTATTAAATAGATAACTGGCATAAGGTCAGAAAGGGCCACTTCAGCACAGTCCCCAATACCAAAGTTTACCGCCGGCTGCACACTGCCTGCACGTTATGGCTTAATTGCAGATTTTTTGAAAAGACAAAAATATGTTCATATCTGAGGAATTATGTCTTGCAGCCTACTAAATATGCTAATGCAGTACTAAGCAGGGATAAAGTTCTTGCCATACCACCCAACAGTTGCGTGGGACACGCTGCCAAGTTATTGTTAATTGTAAAGCGCATGCAGGCTTTGCAATCCATCTTAATTGTCATACTTACTCCAGGTTTGGTGATAAGGCTAGATGGGCTGTTTTAAAGTGACAATGTTGACAAGGGGAAAGGGTGTGGGCCCAGGCTTGCGGTTCTGGAGGGGTTACGCGCTCTGACCTGCCGTAGGTTGATATGGACAGTCTGCAAGGGGATTTCAGTTGTCATGGGGTCCCCAGGCAGTTGAATAGAGTGACTGTCTGTCCTGCTTTTTCCTGTTAGGATCCTGACACGTGGAGCATTGATGAACTCAGCATAACGTTGAATAGGAGCTTTTTGGCAGCTGAGACACAAGGGCTAAGCTGCAGGTCAGAGATAACACTAGTGCAGATCTCCTCATGCACACAGTTAGTAGCATGCTTTCTTCCCTCCTGAGTGCAGGAAATAGCTCATGTTAAATACGTTCACTTTTCAGCTTTCCTTTCTTCTAAAACGCAGCTTGACAGATTGGGCTTTTCAGCTTCCCCCCCCTCCTTATTTTTATTTTTTTTTTTTTCCACCACCTCTGCTTTCTACCTCAGAAATACTCTTCAGGAAGCAGGAGTTAATCTTGGTGAGGAAACGATAAGGTGATACTTGATTTTTCAGGGGAAAGCAGAAGGATATGACTGCCCGGTAACTGCACAGAAATTTGCAGGGACGCCTTTTTTTAGGGCTTCCCTTTGCTTTTTCCTTTCTCCTCCTTAGAGCAGAGAATGGGCAGGTCTGGCTGGAGGTAGGCAAGGGGTTTAAATAGCATCGGGGGCAGGAAGGAAGTGCTGGGAAGGTACATCGATAAAAGCCGCTTCCCTGCACTTCTCTATCAGCTCCCTGGATCAGGTGAATTGGGTCGTTCCTTTCCCAACTTTGATGCATCCTGGCTGGCACAGAAATGTGTCTTTGAAGTCGTTTTATACTCGGCCAAGTTTTTTTACGTGGTTCCCAAAGAAAGAGGGCGAGCATTGTCTCCGCTAAGTGATGTCAGGCCGGCATCCTGTGTACCGAGACAATGTCGAAGCCTCTATCTGCTCTTGGCATTGCTCTTGAGGCTGCCTGGGCTGTTTGAAGTGTTTGTGTCAGCAGACCCTGAACCTGATGGAGATTTGGGGAGGGAGATCACTCTAAACTGCCCTTTGCCTGTGTGTGCACACACGTGTGGTTTGTTGGGTGGTAGGGAGCCTGAGATCACTCAACTCATCGTGCAGCTGGGCATGAGTTTGACTCCTCCTGGAGCCAGAATCCTCCCCAAAGTGAGCGGAACTGTGCACGTTTGCGTTGGGCTTTGAGGTGGAGCAGCACCTCTCCATGGGAAGAGCCTCATTGGTGATGGAGAGCTCTCCTCCCAGCAAGGTGGTGCTCAGCAGGAGCAGGGCAGAGCCAGGATGAGACCCTATTGTGTGGGCCTGTCCGCATTAGTGGATTCCTGTGCCTCTGTTTAGACTTTCCACGACTTAATTGGGCCTCTGCAGCGAACTGTTTGCAGCCAAGGGGCCAAGGCTATTGTTTGTTCCTGTGGCTATCACCGAGAGCCACGCAGATAGGGAAAAATATAGACATAAATACTGCCTTTGTTGCACTCTGGATGCTTCTTTCACTATCCTGAACGATTTCATGCTTGCTCTTGAGTGACTTCAGCAGCTTTTCCAGTAGATGCACTTTGGAGAGGTGGGAAGTGGCTGGAAAAAGGACAGCAGAACCAGTTTGCATTAAATGGCCCTGCAGGGTATTGCTGTTCCCTGTTTTTTGCTTTCTGTGTAAGTGGAGGGTCTGTGGCCACAGCCAGCACCACTCAGAGCTTGGGGAACCCTTCCCAGCTGCCACTGTGGGGTTGCACATTTTTCCTGGGAAAGCAGTGCTGGGAGCTCTGCGCATTTTCTTTGCTAAGCCGTGAATTCATTATGAAATTTATAGGATGAGATCTATGACTCTGCTAGGTCTTCACTTCCACACAGCAGTTTGGCCTTTTCATTCCAGAGAGGGTTGGACAGGAGTTAAGAAGATCTGGCTTTTGTTTCCAGCTCTTCTACAACTTCCTGTATGACCTTGGGCAAGTTGCTTAATCAAGCTGTCTCGAGCTTTCCTTTGTAGTAATGTTGCTTGCAAAAGTTAGGGGAGTTGTGAATATGCAAGGTTGATTTGGTAGGTGACATTCAGGTACTAATTTGACACCTTGCAGAGAAAAAGCAGCCCTGTGAAAGAAGAAAACTGAAGTCTCAGTATCTCACCTTGGCTTCAAATGCAGGATTCAATGAAACAACAAGATGCTGGCTGGTCTGAATCAGGGTCAGTTGCACATAGTACCAGCCCTGGGCATAAATTTTACTCTCAAATGGAATGGAATATATCATGGAAAGTTATCTAAATGAAGGTCAGAGAGCCTGTGTAGTGACATCATATGAGAAATTCAGGACCTGAAGATGAGGACAGAGATATCGGGGATACAAGTATGACATAGCAGGATTAGTCTGGACGTTGGGGTTGTTCAGCCTGAAGGAGGCTCTGGGAAGACCTCAGAGGCTTTTACAGTTCCTAAAGGGGCTCCAAGAGAGCTGGAGAGGGACTTAGCATGTGGGCCTAGAGTAACAGGACAAGGTAGATGGCTCCAAACTGGCAGACAGCAGGTTTAGATGGGATATTGGAAAGAACTCCTTCCCTGTGAGGGTGGTGAGGCCCTGGCACAGCTTGCCCAGAGGCTGCCCCTGGATCTCTGGAAGTGTCCAAGGTTGGACAAGGCTTGGAGCAACCAGGTCTAGTGGAAGGTGTCCCTGCCCATGGAAAGGTGTTAGGAATGAGGTCTTTAAGGTCTCTTCCAATTCAAGCCCTTCTATGATCCCATGAATTTCCTTGTGGGAGCAGACCTCTTGCTGGCCCGGCATGCAGAGGAGGTGGAAGCCTATGCTCTACATCCCCCAGGGAAAGGAGAGCTTGTCCCAGGAGTGCAGCCCATACAGTTCAATGCTAAGCTGTAATACACTGACAGGAGCAGATGACTCTCAGTTTTTGGGGAGCTGAGTGATTTCCTTAGAAGTGCTGGAATGTGCACATGCAGGAACTAAAATGTGTGTGAGCTACAGAAAGCTCACACCGCCTTCATTAAAGCCATGGACATCTGAGTGCCTGAAGATCTGATAGGACTTGGTTTTTTTTAAAGTGGTAAAAGTATGTTATTAAAGACTAGCATATCTAGGAGCTTGATCACAGCCTGGTTTATAGGGAGTGGTAATATCTTTATTAAGCCAACTGATATAGTTGGAGGGGGAAAAAACAGACAAGGCCTCTACAGGGCTCTTTACTGTAATTAAAATAGGCTGCTTATATCTAGTTAAATAATATGTAAACTCTTAAGGCCAAATGCTGCAGCTAGTTACTGTTAGTGAGAAATTGTAAACTACAAAATCCCAAACCAGGAAGTCCCATGGAGATAAAAAAATATCTAAAGAGCAGTCAGAAATGTGCCCTATATTATTGATGCTTCAAGCGGTATTAAGCTGTGAGGGGCTGGAATGTAAACAGAGTTACAGATGTCTGATGCCGTAGGTTGAATTAGGGAAGCAGGAAATGCACTCCTTCACTTGGGATGTTTGGAAAAAACACCTTCTGCTTGGCTTTATCTGAAACAGTTAAAGGTTTGTTTAACCTACAAAATAATTCGGAGGAGAATACACCAGGCAAAGTTGTTTCTTCTATTTATAGTGCCAAAAATAGGAGCTGTGCAAACCAACAGAACACGGTCCCAGTTCACAGAGAGCTACATTTTAGAAATGACCTAATGAGAGAGGGTCACAGTAAGGGTAGGTTGTGTCACAATGGAAAAAACTACAGCTGCACACACATATGGCTACTCAGGGGTAGGCCAGCTTGATCTTAGAGAGACAATTATTGTATGTATCTTTGCAATGTAAAGCTAATGACTACTTTCCTCCCTCGGGGTGAAGTGCAAAGGAACAGTTTTGTTTCTTAGAAGAGGGTGGGAGAACAGCCTCTATAAACCTCTCTGGTAATCCTGATACTTTATTTCCCAACCTTGAAAGCCTACAGCCTTATCTTATCTCCCTATGGTTGTTACCCCTGCCAAACTCTGCTGATGGGCTGCTAACATCATTACATTTG